ATGACAATATAGATTAAAATAAGTTAATTATATCACCATTTTATTTTCGCTATGTGGAAATGATCTAAGAATTGTACTGTAATCTAACTCATCTATTCTTAATAAAGGCCTTCTCCAGCCAGCCACCCTTTTCTGTTTACCATCTACAGTAATTAACTCATTTGGGGAATTTAACTTGACAGCATGCCTTTTTAAAACACAAAAGTATTTTTAAAGTCATTAATGTCATAGGTAGCTTTTGCTATCTTCTACAGAAATACAGCAGCATTACAATTTTTTCTGATTACTGATATGTGCATTAGGAGAAATCTGAATTCAATAGACATGAAGTATCTTTTGAAGTCTCTGTTTCTGAATATTAAATCTTACCAAAATGAGGAAAGGGTGCAGGTTTTTCCAGTGAGTTTTATTCCTGACAGACCATCTCTCTTGGCTCTCTAAGATCCTCAATGACTGCTTTCTTGATATTACATATCAACTCCAGCGGCCCAGTCTTTTCATTACCCATCTCTCCCTGTCTTCATTTCTCCAACTGGCAGGTGCCATGTAGAAGCAGAGCCTGAGATTCAACCACCAAAAGGCTCAGGGTAACCTAGTCATCTCCACTATTCTTCTTCCCAAAACCAACAATAACAAGTCCTGGGCTTATGTCAAATCCACTGTTTTTAGCTTTCTTCAAGCCTCCCTTTGGCATTCTATGTTCTTAGTTGGAGCAACCACGTTAAAATTATTTTAAAAACCAAAGAATAAAAGGACACCATAGTCCATAATAGATATCTCAATGCTGCAATACTTCTATCCCAATGGTTCCATCTGGTGGACCACAAATCTCTTGGGAGACTTAAAATAATTGCAGCTAATTCCCTAATCCAAATGTGATGGTGTATTATATGCCATTGACTGGGCATAAGAAGGTTAGGAATGTGAAAATACCCACCAATAGGACGCTTATAAAATGTAGTGTTGTCATTACGAAGCTAGTGTGCTACTGATACCCTTGCGCTATGCCACACCCTCAGAGCCACTGCCACTCTGCCGCCAGCCCCATTTTATCTTTACTCCTATTCTTGACCCCTATCTATTTCTATTCGATCCTTGAATCCCATAATAATTCATCTCTAAGCATCACTTCATTCCTTATTCCTCATTTCCCAAGGCTTAAAAATAGAGTAAATCTCAGAAATGGGGTGAGTCTCTACAATAATGTCATTTGTGTATATACTGATAATACTATTAAAGTCCTTTTAGGAAGCTTCAAAGTCCCAGATTAATTTTCATCTAGAAAATGAATCAAAATGGTTATATTAAAATTTCTTGTACCTGCTCTTGCTCTTTCTTGTGTTACTGATATCAATTATACATAAATGCAAAAGGAATGGAGTTTTGATACATGATACATGAAAGAACCTTGAAAACATTATGCTAGGTAAAAGAAGCCAGACGTGAAAGGACAAACAGCATATGATTCCACTTAAACAGATACCTAAAATAGGGAAATTCATAGAGACAGAAAACAGATTGGAGGTTACTAAGGGCTGGATGAGTGGTGAGTTATTGCTTAATGAGTAGAGTTTTTGTTTGGGGTGATGAAAAATGTTGGAGATAAACAGTGGTGGTGGTTGCATAACATTGTGAATGTAATTAATGCCTCTGAGTTGTATACTTAAAAATGGTTAAAATAGCAAATTTCAAGGTATATCTATTTTACCACAATAAACAATTATAAAAAAGATACAAGAATTCAGTTTGAAGAATTGCAGATTCTTGATATTCTTTATATTTTCTTAATTGATAGATGAAAAAGTACAAATATTATAATGTTGACTGCCTGAATTTTAAAAAATGAAAACAGAATCTTCCTGCTAGAAAGTGAAATATATTTTTACATGAAATTTCTGTACTGAAGGCTAACAATTTTTATTCATAATACTTTTTTCTTTTTTTAGTGCCAAGCTAATTCAAACTTCATAGACTAAGTTGGCAAGTATTCCCTCCATTCTCTTAAATTTTCTGCAAGAGTTGTTATAAAATTGGTATTATTTCTTCTTTAAATGTTAGACAGAATTCTTATTCAGGTCATCCATTTATTCTTGGGTGAGATTTAGTACTTTGTGTGTTGCAAGGTATTGATCCTTTTCAAATTTTTTGTCTAATTTATTGGCATAAAGTTAATCTTTCTTCATAATAAAATCTATAATGATGTCTAATCTCTAGCTCCTGACATTAGTATAATAATTTGTGCCTTTTCTCTCTCTTGTTTTTCTTATCTATCTATTAATACTGAAAGGTCAACAATTTTATATATTTTGTCAAAGAGCCTCTCTTTGGTTTCATTGACTTTATTTTTTTCTATTTTTATTTCATTGATTTTCACTCTGATCTT